TACACCTGATACGCCACTACAGCTTCGCTTGGCTGTTGCATAGCATTTGCTGCAACGAAGCAGCGAAGTTCAAAGTCGGCACAGTTAAAATGTTTGCCGCAGCGTGAACAATGGCTGCAAGTACATAGTTGCAACAACCGCGCAGGTGGTTAGCCAAAGCAGCAACAATAATCCGAATGAAAATTAGCAATACCTACAACAAATACGACGCGTACATCTAACTAAGCTAGCAGCAGAAACAATATTTGCACAAGCAGCTGTACTAACAACAGTCAATGTTATTGCCTCTGTTAGCGTCGCTGCTGTTGTGCATTCTAGTCAGCTACTGAGTTTTTATTTTTTATGTAAAGGCATCGTAAGTTGTGCATGCACAATGTAGCGATTGTGCGCATGCGCGCAGTTTGTAAGATTGCATTGCGCCCAGGTGTGTCTATCAATTCGTGCAGCATTTGTGGTCGAAAAATGTGAATTTCAATATTTTTTTTTTCTTTCAAATTGCAATGTTTATGTGTTTTATGACAAAAACGGGCCATAAAGTAATTACAAAATATTTACCTCTTTCGAATATTTCAGTTTTATACCTTTAATTATTTTAGGGGTAAAAACACTAAATATTTCTTAAAATTCCGTAATGTCTGCTAATATTCATAATATCTCTAAATTGTTCATAATTTCATATGTTTAAGGAAGTAAATACTTGGAGGTGTGGCTATAATCTTCACATTGGAGGCTGCTGTTAACCGTCGCAAGGCCATAGGCTAAAAAAAATCATGATCTAAATCTAAGGGTAGTAATCAAATTCTGATGTAAAAAATTATAATTTTCCGTTAAAAAATAATTTCCTTGTTTAATTTTTATTTATTTAATTTTAAATAAAAACTATTTTCTTAATTTCCCTTTTTTATTTATCTTTTAATTAAACTCATTATTTTTTCTTAGAAAAGCTTTTTTTTTTTCAAAACAATTTAATGTAATTTTTGTCCGAAAGTTTTTTCCTAAAGTTTTCTTTTCCAATTTTTTAAATTTGTTGCCAGAAAAGTGTTATCTAAAATAAACATATACTTATGTATGTACATAGTACTTTCTTATGTATGGTAAAATTTTCATAATTTTTGTAGAAATTATTTTCTAAATAATAATGTTCTACATAATTTTTTCGTAAATTTTACTTTTCCCAAACGATTTTATCTTGACAAAATAGTTTTCATCCTAAATATTTTATTTTTATTTTTTTTCCAAAAAATATTTTTTTTTAATAAATAATTTTTTCCAAAAATTTTTTCCTACGAAAAATATATGCTTCTGATGCTGATATTTTTTCCCTTATACGGGTTAAAATATTTTTTCCCTCAAAATTTATTTTTTCAAATTTGTGGGTTTTTCGTTAAAAATATAGTCACATACCCACACTCCCACTACCAACAACACACACTTCTTTACTCATTCTCTCTTTACCTCTCCTACTTATCTTCCCACACCTCTTCACCACTTTTCCTAATTTGCTCAATTATTAACTGATCTCTTCTTTAATGACTTTCTCTAAACTAATCCCTTTCTCTTTGTTACAATGCAACAACAACAATTCACACTTTGACTCCCAACAGCTGACTAGATTTGTTTTCATTTGTACGTACTACATCTGAATTCATCTTGACTTAACTTAAACTTACACGTGACGGTTTATGCAAATTTTGCCCATGCCGGGAGCAAACATCTTTACACAACAAACAATTTTCTTAAAAAAATTGCTTCTTAAACTGCACTTACAAAAAATGGCCTAACTCGAAACGAGTGGCTGTTGCACGTCGTTGCAAGTCGCTAGCGGACTGAATAATCTGTACAGAGTTTCAGTTTTTGACCTTAGCGGCTCTTTAGCTATTACTTCCGGAAACAAAATGACCCTATTCTTCCTTATTTACACAGCCGCTTGTTTTGTAGATTTTTATCTACTACGCCTTAGCCCAATAGCTATGTTTATGATGTAATTTTGGTGTTAAATTTGTTTCCCACTTCATCATTATCATATTCATTTTGGTATGGGGCGTAGTTTGCTGCCAGCTGTCATCAACTCAGCAACAGAGTGCTCCCTATTTGGTATAGCATATTCAGCTTCTATATCGCTTTTGGTCTACAATACCTGCTTTGTACAATACTGCATAGATGCATAAATATGTATGTAGATAACCACATTGCTACCTACTATTCGCTAGTTGTAAATTACATAGATTCATGCATTTGACATTTTAGCCGCTTATTTTTCATTTCCCTGCCACACGTCGACTGTTTGTTTGTTACGAAGCTCACGCGCGCTAACCCTTTCCCAACTCACGGACACTTAAGTACGCATCCAATAAGTCTGGATTAGGAATGTTAACCCCGGGATCCCGGCCTTTTTAAGGTCCCAAAAAATAAATTGCGTTTTTAGTTTTTCACTCTGACGTCAGTAATTCAAAAATGATTTAAAAAATTCAGTAAAATTTGCTTAGAGAATTAGTATGGCTTTTAAATTAAAGAGGAAATCCTGCAGAATTTAAAAAGATTTACGATTTTGGTGCAGAAGGACTGGTAAGTATTGAAAATTTCTTTTTTTTTATTTATTTAAGTTTACCCTTGAAATTTTGCAATATTTGTTTTTGAAAAAAATTTGATTTAAAGGTCTTATGTTTATAATCGACAACATACTCGAATTTCGTTCTTCTAACTTTATCAGCTTAAAAAAATGCCTATTCGTCCTTGTGAATTAAAAAAAGAAATTAATTTTTTTTTTAAGTTCTAAAGGAATTTCCTCTTGAATTTGGTATCCATATTTTTATTCTAAACAAATAGCATTGAATTTTTCAAATAATTTTTGGAATTAATCATATCTTTGAAACCACAAAATAAAATAAATCCTGACGTCAGAGAGAAAAAATAAAAACGGCACTTTAAATAAAAAAAGTAGGTTCCAAACCCATTTATTTATTATTTATTTTATGTTAGGA